TATGACCAGATGTGTGGCCTGTGTGGGGACTATGACGGAAACCCCAATAATGATTTCACTAAGCCAGATGGCTCCCAAACCGACAACTCAAGTCAGTTCGGCGACAGCTGGCAAACTGATGAGGATGAGGATGCAACGTCAGTACTTTTTACTTTTCTTAATTTTATCAACCGCACAACAGGCAGGGCAATACATTTAAGATTAGGTTGACTTCAAATGCTCAGTCATGCACGCATGCCTTAATGATGACGATGTGTTTTCAGGTGCAAGCCTGACCCCGGGCCTCAACCACCCTGCGATCCTGTGCTGGAGGGTGTCGTGTCAAACCCAGAGAACTGTGGGAGAATAACTGACACAAATGGAGCATTTAGGTTAGGAGGACTTACCAAACTATGACATTTTCTGCTAATAAACAATGTTGAATCATACCATTTGAAATTAATCAGCATGGCTTATAACAAATATGCGTGTTCTATTATTCATACCATTTCTAACATGAGAAAGACTATTAGAAAGACTATTGAAAACTTTAAGTGCTTAATAATAGCACACTTTCTCTCATATTTGCTCCTCACAGGGACTGTATAAAGGTGGTGGACCCGTTGCCTTTCTTCCAGAGCTGTGTGTTTGATATGTGCAGTTATCAGGGGCTGCAGCAGGTCCTTTGTGACCAGCTTCAGGCTTACACTGATGCTTGCCTGAGTGCAGGTGCACCTGTCCATCAGTGGAGGGAGCCAGACTTCTGCCGTGAGTCATTCTCTCATTTATAGTGTCATACTGCATAAGGTGTAGGGTTTGATAAATGGTTTGATCATATAAAATAGCAGAAAATTTGCCGTCTTACATCCATGCAAGAATCACATTTCACACTCCCAGTGATAAGCCTGCTTTCAGCTCCCCTTAATGCACAATATAAATTATTGAAGTGAATGAAGAGGTTAGAATAGCAAAGCTACACATGTGTCAGTTTAGCCTTATTATTTTGTATTATTTATGGGGCTTTTATGCCTTTAATGGCCAGTGTGGTGAAAACAAATTATGTCACAGAGGGACAGGGACATAAGACAGGGAAACTGCAAAGTCCAAACTGTACCCCCACTTTAGCCTTCTCCATCATTTAATGATGTTTTCCTTAATTTTTCTACAGCTCTGGAATGCCCTCCAAACAGCCATTACTCCATATGTGTGAGCTCCTGTCCGGAGACATGTCTGGGTATCAGTGGACCCCCGGGCTGCAGTGAGAAGTGTGTAGAAGGCTGTGAGTGTGACCCTGGCTTCATCCTCAGTGACAACAAATGTGTTCCTGTTAAAGACTGCGGCTGTGTGGACTCCTCAGGCTCCTACCATCCAGTGAGTTTAACACTAAGGCTGACCCCCCAGGGTACTGGGGCCGAAGACAAGATTGTGAAAATGGGACCCCCTGGAGTAAAAATTGTGAAAGTTTTGATTTAAAATATCCAAAGAACCACTGCAAACACGACGACTAATCTAAAAACATTCATTTCTGACGTTATTCATAATTTTATCTTTTGTAGTTCACCTAAATAGCATTTTGACAAATAAATTATTAAAGATAGATGGAAACTGAGTAACTATAGTATTATATTACTAACTGGGTATTTTTTGGGCCTGTTGTCTAAGTTTGTCATTATTCTTACGAGAAAATGACAAGCACTCTGTCTGTCATCCAAAAGTGCTTTAAACACTATTTGAATTCTTTAATATTTATTGTTTTACAGTTTGCTACTTTATTTGTGCTGTTTTTGTTGTGTTTCACTTTCAGATAGTTTGTTGCTTTCAGTTATTTCTTGTTATTCATTATCTGAGTATCTTATTTCATTCAGAGCGCATATTTTAAAGACTTTGTATGCTTGATTCTCGTTAATGTGATTTATGTGTTTAATGTTTATTTATTTATTTATGTAGCTATAAAAATAATTAATTCGTTTGAGTTAAATGTTTTATTAAGTCCCTACACAAAACAACATGACACTTGTCGCCACCTACTGGACGAAGGAGTCTCTGTACGAATCAATGCATGAATCTTTTGGTAAACAGATTTAAATGAGTTGAGTCACTGTGATAAATCAAAACCCATGCTAGTAGTGTCTATATAACCTATTGCTTAAAACACAATGCACAATGCAGGTGTTAATGTTTAAAAATTGGAGAAATGTGCTTGACTTGTGGATTTCTAACACATTCCTATCAATGTGGCCATATTTAGGTAAATGAGAGCTGGTATCTGGAGGGCTGTACACAGAAGTGTACATGTGAGGGTGGAGGAACTATTCAGTGTTATGACACCAGCTGTATTCCTACTGAGAGCTGCCAACTTCAAGATGGAGTCTATGTCTGCAAACCACTTGGTAACAAATATAAAACTAGTTTACACAGTTTTAGCATCTTATCAAATACAAACATGCAGTTCTGCACAAACCTGTTGACACATAGAACTAAACTTTCTGAGTTTATCTCTCCAATTTTTATCTCTTTCTGTTTTAGGTACAGGCATTTGCTCAGTTTCTGGTGACCCTCATTATAATACCTTTGATGATAAAGTACATCACTTCATGGGTGCCTGTTCCTATACTCTCACTAAGCCCTGTAATGAGACCTCCGGCTTGCCATACTTTTCTGTGGAGACACAGAACGAGCACAGAGACAATAATAAGAAAGTATCTTATGTAAGATCTGTCATCATCAATGTGCAAGACATAACAGTCATTTTGGGCAAGGGTCGCAAAGTTCAGGTAAGGGACATTTCTAAGATTTGTGAAACATAAATAACAGATTACAGGAGATCAAAACAGCAGTCCATCCACGTGCCTACCTTATTTGTACATCCTGCAGTTGAATGGAGTTCAGGTCACTGTGCCTGTCATACTTTCAAATGGTATTAAGATCTTCCTAAGTGGCAAATTTGTGGTGCTCGAGACAGACTTCGGATTGCGTGTCCGTTTTGATGGAAACCATCATGCAGATGTCACCTTGCCTTCCTCCTACAGCGGACTGTTATGTGGACTCTGTGGTAAGGACTGCAACTTCAGTTATCTAACTAACTGATGGAGATTCAAAAGCTACTTTATACTGCTACTAACCAAATATTAGTAGTTTGATGTCAGTCATTTTAATAATAATATTTGACAGGAAATTATAATGGCGATCCTAATGATGACAACATCAAGTCAGATGGAATGGCAACAGACAGCACCAATGAGCTTGGAGAAAGCTGGCAGGTGCCCGATGACAGACCAGAGTAAGCAAAAGCATATTTGTGACCCTGGACCACAAAACCAGTCATAAGGGTCTTTTTTTTAATATTGAGATTTATACACCATCTCAAAGCTGATGGAATAATAATAAATAAGCTTTCCATTGATGTATGGTTTGTTAGGATTGGACAATATTTGGCCGAGATACAACTATTTGAAAATCTGGAATCTGAGGGTGCAAAAAAAATCTAAATATTGAGAAAATCGCCTTTAAAGTTGTCCAAATTAAGTCCTTAGCAATGAATATTTCTATTTAAAAATTAAGTTTTAATATATTTACAGTAGGAAATTTACAAAATATCTTCATGGAACATGATCTTTACTTAATGTCCTAATGATTTTTGGCATAAAAGAAAAATCAATAATTTTGACCCATACAATGTATTTTTGGCTATTGCTACAAATATACCCCAGCAACTTAAGACTGGTTTTGTGGTCCAGGGTCACATTTAATCGTGCACTGCACCAATGATAATAAGGTTTTTGAAGATCATTGAAGCTTTTATCATTCATGCCTGTTCCTATCTCACACAGTTGTACTCATGGTGGAGGAGACATTGAATGTGATGACAAGATCCAGAATGAAGCACAGAAACCTACTAGCTGTGGCATGATCATTGACCCTAATGGTGGGACACGCATGCATTCAAACATACATTTTAAAACGTTTTAATGATAAGGTCACTGAAAAAATACATAAAAAGCTTTATCTCAATTAGTAGTTTGTCATATTATTTTTATAGGTGTTTTTATTTTATTTGCCTAATTTTATTTATTTATTTTTATCCTCATATCATTTCAGATCAGCATATTATAGAGTTTGTTTACACGATGTAATAATTTAATATTCTTTTGGGGCTTAGCGTCACATTTCTTAATTTTTAGTCAAGATTTGCATTTGTAAATGTTATTCCACCTTATTTTGTTCTTAGTGAATTAATTAGAATAAATCATATTTATGTTAGAACGCATGATTATTTGTCTGCTTTGGGCGGTTTGACTACAATCATTGTAATACATTTTGGATTAAATGTTACCAGTGACTTGAACATGACTTGAAGAGTAAAGGGTAAATGTACAAGAGGCCTCATTTTACTCTATTTATGACTATATTCCAGCACATCTGTTCATTGCATTGAGCTTCTCAGTTTTATAGAGCTGTTCTATGAAACGACACCTGTTTTATGCACCATTAAAGCCTACTTATCATTCTTTTCCCAGGAATCTTCAAGCCATGTCATGCAGTGGTGCCTCCCGATCCTTACTTTGAGAACTGTGTGTTTGATCAGTGTGGCACTGGTGGGGCCACAGTGGCACTGTGCCAAGCTATTCAAAGCTATGCTGACCTGTGCGCTCAAGCTGGGGTGCCAATTAACTGGAGGAATAACACCTTCTGCCGTAAGTGTTTGAGCCCTGCAGACATTCTGTAATGTGCCCTTAAAACCTACAATTACTCTATCCTGGTAACCTTTTTAAGACGCAGCCTTTGTAGTGTGCACGCTTCAGTTAGGGAGTGATCAATGAGTGCTGTTTGTCTTTTTTGTGTTTCTAAATTGGCTGTTTCCCATCCATCCTTCTCTCTTTTCTAACTATTTTCATTCATTTTTTTTATTTGTTTTTCATTAATTTCATTTATCTTCTGACACATTGCAATGGTTCGTTTAACACTACTCCTTTATTTCCATTTCTTCCAGCTATTAAATGTCCGGTTGGTAGTCACTATGAGCCGTGCGGTTCAGCCTGCCCAGCCAGTTGTCAGGACCCTGGATCTGAAGGCACCTGTTCTGAGCCCTGTGTTGAGGGATGTGTGTGTGACCCTGGTTTTGTCCTCAGTGGAGACAAGTGTGTGCCCTTCAGTGAGTGTGGTTGCACTGACAGAGACAACAACTACAGGCCTGTGAGTTCTTGAGAAGACTGAATGAAATTTACTAACTTTTAATTTCTAGTTTAGGCTATGTCTCTTTGTGCATTTCAATTCTTAATGTATATCTGTGTGATTTTCAGGTTGGAGACAGCTGGTTCACAAAAGATGATTGCACAGAGCGCTGTGTTTGTTCACCTTTCAATAAGGTGACATGCGAGGCATGGCAATGTAGTCCCGCTCAGGAATGTAAGGTCAATGAGGGTGAACTGGGCTGTGTGAACACAGGTACATACTCTACATAATCTATCTGTCTGTCTCTGTCTTCCGTCTATCTATATCACTATCCATCTATGTCTTTTTATGTGTCTGTTTATGAATTTATCTGTCTATCTGTCTGACACATGCTAATCCTTCTTTGCAGGAGTGGGCATTTGCCACATTGCTGGTGATCCTCACTACTACACTTTTGATGGCATCATGCACACCTACATGGGCACCTGCACTTACACGCTGGTGGCGATATGCGACAACTCTATGGTGACACCCTTCACCATTGTGGCCAAGAACGAAGAACGCGGCCAACCAGAAGCTTCGTATGTTCGCTCTGTGACCGTCTACCTGCCCACTGCCAACATCACCATCAGCAAGAGTGGAAGAGTACTGGTGAGAGCCCGAGAAGGAAGGAAGGAGAGATGCAGTAGTGGTTTTGACTAGGCTGCATTTGCATGTCTTCTTCTGATTAGACATCATGAATAGGCATATAACAGTGACATATTGCATAATATCATAGATAAGATTCTAAACAATATGTATTCAGGGATATGATTGTGCTAAATCTCTGGCTTGTACTCATATCTGTCCTCTCCACCGACTAGGTGAATGAACGGAGGATAAAAACCCCCTACGACATCAGTTCAGCCAAGGCACGGGTGTTCACCAGTGGAGTAAACACCGTACTAGACACTGACTTTGGCCTGATTGTGAAGTTTGATGGAGTGCACCATATTGAAATCACAGTCCCTGGAGACTATTTCAACAAGGTATGAAACTACACAAAAACATAGCTAGAACATAACCCTATACCTAATATTTGTTGTAAATGTATTCTTTCGATACAGATGTTTGATTAATAAACCAGATAGTTTATTTTTTTGTCCAGATGCCTGAATTGCAATAAGAAAAGTGAAAGAATTTCCACAAGCAGATTTTGATCAAATCTTCCTTACACATATCACTCACTGCTTTTCCTGTAACTCAACTTTCCTTTTATAGGTGTGTGGAATGTGTGGTAACTACAATGGAGATTCCTCTGATGACAACTTGATGCCTGATGGCAAACCAGCCAAAGATGCCATTGAACTTGGTGACAGCTGGAAGGCAGAGGGAGACAGTGATCCTGGGTGAGTGTTAAATTATTTGGTTCCTCTAAATACCTCTCCATAATTCAGAAATAAACAAACCTAGATAGATAGCAGCATTATAGGTGCACTTATGGTGCTTATGAATCTGAGCCAATCATGGTGAAAAATCAGTACAGTTTCACTTGTCTTCATTCTTCTCTTGTGTTCATCCATGCCTCGCAGATGTCAACCTGATCCACGGCCAGATGACAAACCCAACTGCGCTGAGAATGAGGAGGAAATCTACAAGTCACATTGCGCAGCGTCTATCCTGTCTGATTTCTTCAAGCCCTGTCACTCTTTCATTCCTCCAGAATCTTTCCTGGGGAACTGCGTCTATGACATGTGTGAATATGATGGCATGCAGTCGACTCTGTGCGATAACATTGAAGCTTACGCTCAGGCCTGTCATAGCGCTGGAGTCACGATCAGCTGGAGAAACAGCACCTTCTGTCGTAAGTGAAAGAGGGAAGGAAGGATGAAGAGATGTGCTGAGAATGTAATGCTGAGCTGGCTGACAGGAGGAAGAATAATTTGGCTAGAATTGTAACGATCAAAAGAGCAGAACTTTGATGCTGATAAAATTAAGCATTTATGAGATTCTTCATTGATAACCTCTAGGCTATACATAAATATTAATGAATTTCTATGCATATTTTGAAGGTGGTCTATGAGTATGTCAGAGAATCATTGTCATTCAAATCCAGTGCATCAAACTTCTTTCCTTTGTGTTTTTTTCTTTCCAGCTCTCCCGTGCCCACCAAACAGTCACTATTCTGAGTGCACAGCACCATGTCCTCCTACCTGTGCCGATCTCTTCCCCGTATTCTGCCCATTACCACCCAATAGCTGTGTAGAGGGCTGCCAGTGCAATGGAGGTTTTGTGCTAAGTGATGGCAAGTGTGTTCCCCTCTCAAGCTGTGGATGTGTTGACAGCAATGGAGAGTATCATGATGTGAGTAAAGTTGCTAGAATTCCATGACAGTCGACTAAATATATTAATATTATTAATATAATATTAAAGTTTAAAAAAAAATAAAAAATTTATACTTTTATTCAGCTAGGAAACGGCTAAAATGTAAAAAAAACATTGATAATTTATAATGTTACAAAAGATTTCTATTTCAAATAAATGCTGTTCTTTTGACCCAATATTGATCGAAGAATCCTGAAAAATATAAAAAAATATTAAGCAGCACAACTGTTTTCTTTGTTAATAATAAGAAATGTTTCTTGAGCTTACCAGAATGATTTCTGAACGGTCATGTGACAATGACAACTGGAGTAATGGCCGCTGAAACATTTAGCTTTGCTTTCACAAGAATTTATCACATTTTTAAACATGCTAAAATAGAAGTTATTGTAAATTGTTATAATATTTCATAGAATTACAAGTTTCACATTTTTGATCAAATAAATGCAGCCTTGGAGAATATAAGAGACTTCTTTCTAAGATTTAAAAATCTTACCCACCCCAAACTTTTGAACAGTAGTCTGTCTATTAAAGAATTCTGTTCTTCAACTCATTATTGAAATCATTTTCTACATACATGAATTATGGCAAAAACACGATACTTAAAGAATGTACATTATTAGAAAAAGGTGCTGTAAAGACGGCCGTGCTTTCATTTTTTGTCACAAAATGTTACAATACCGACTGGTATCAATTTTAGGTGGGAGATTCCTGGATAACTGACCACTGCGAACAGAGGTGCAGCTGCAGCCTTGGAGGAGTGCTGTCCTGCACGTCCTTTGAATGCAATGACAACTCAATCTGTGATCTTGACAGCAATGGAGACCGTTACTGCAAACCTGAGAGTGAGTTTTGGACAGCTTTACAATGAGAAATACTAAGAATGAGGGGAAAATAAAGTCAATTTACTTAATTCAGACAAATTCAAAAATGTGTATTTATTATACATGAATGACCAAAAATTGGCAACAATTTTATCTTAGTAAGGACTACTTCATGTTTCACGTCTCCATGTCTTTGAAGTTTTTGGGATTTAATGACTGCATCTTGTGGGCATCTAAAGAAATGTAAATGTTTAACCCTTGAAGCAGGTTCAAAGTTAGTCTTAATGTCCACCTCAGGAATGAACTAACTCAAACCTCTTTTACTTCTCATAGAATTTGATGACTGCAATATTGCCGGGGACCCTCACTATCGTACCTTTGACAAATACAATCACCACTACCAGGGAGCATATACCTATGTATTAACTCAGAGCAACAATCTGCCCAGCTCCCTCACCCCTTTCATAGTCCGTGGCAAAAACCAGCGGCAGGGAGGCATCAGCCGGGTGTCTCTCCTGCGCGAGGTCTATGTGGATGTATACGGCATTACTGTTCGCTTTCAACAGAAGAAGAAAGTGCTGGTGAGAGATTCATGGGACATGTAGTCAATCCTAATAGTTGTATCTAACAGACGTTCAAACTACTACTTCATAAATGACCACGCAATATAGTAAAATGCCAATATCTTGGATGTCTTTGCATTTTTTCCTCCATCAGGTCAATGACGAGAAAGTTGGTCTACCGTTCATTCCTGTACGTGGAGTTAACATAAAAACAAAGTCTCGCTTTGTTATGCTCACAACTGACTTTGGCCTTTCTGTGCGCTTTGATGGCAATGCTCAAGCAGGTAGATCAAAACTTAAAATCTACATAATTTGTCAAGGATTTTTTATGCACAGCTTTGCATATTTTTTAAAGTATTTAATAACAAAAACTCTCTCTCTCTTTTTTTCCCTGAAGTGGTGACTCTGCCTAGTGTATACAGATCTCGTGTGCTCGGTCTTTGCGGTAATTATGATGGACGCACCAGTAACGAGTACACAAAACCAGACGGCACAGTTACCCGCAACCTCAATGAGTTTGGAGACAGCTGGAGAGTAACTGACAGACAGGCGGGTCTTCGTACCACATCCCTACCAAAGATGGTGCACCTACACAAGTACGGAAGAATGCTATGCATTATAAATCAATTGGGAAATTCTCATGTACTTCACTCTAACCATATGAAAAATCCTGTCTTCTTTGCTATTAGGCGTGAAGTGGAGGCCGATCCAGATTCAGGGTTTGAGACGACGGGCTGCACAGATGCTCTGCTGGATGAGCTGAACGGGAATAAAATGTGTGGGGCTCTCAGTGACCCTGCTGGTCCTTTCACTGCCTGTCATGCTGTGATCGCTCCGAATGACTTCCAGGAGTGAGTAATGTGTGCATGTGTTTGAGGGAGTGTGCACTCTAGGGACAAGTATTTGTTTACTTCCTGAGCTCAGAGAATAACGTAATGCAAAGTGGGTGTGTGTTGCGCTAACTATGTACAAGAGCATGTGTATGCGTGTGCGTTTGACTGAGATAAACTTGTGATATGCGGGTGTTGGTACGGATGCACAGTCCTTCATGACCGTGTGTGTGTTTGCATTGCAGGGATTGTGTGTTTGACCTGTGTGCTGAGCAGGGCAATGAAGAGCTGCGCTGTGAAAATTACGCTGTCTACGCTCGGGCTTGCCAAGATCAGGGTGTTGAACTAGGGCAGTGGAGACAAGAACTGAATTGTGGTATGAAAAATTTAATAATTTACACAATGTAGACTTTATCCATTCTATAGCAATATAAAATTAAAATTAAAATTATTCATTAAAAACTAAAAATAAAAACCCGGTTGAAAATCATGGTTTCCACAAAAATATATAGCAGCACCACTTTCAACATTGATAATAATAAGAAATATTTCTTGAGCACAAAATCAGCATCCTGCAATTATCTCTCTAGGATCATGTGACACTGAACATTCAGCTTTGCCATCACTGAAAAAGAAAACATTTAAAATATATTATAATAGAAACATTATTTAAAATTGTAAGAATATTGCACAATATTTGTGTTTTATTGTATTTGTGACCACATAAATGCAGCCTTGTTGAGCATAAGAGTTAAAAAAATTAAATTAAATTAAACCCTAAAACACATTTTTCGAGATGTTAACAGGTTGCACATCAGTGAAAACAACAATAGTACTAATTATGTCTATTATTATTACGGGAATTTACAATTTATTTATTTATTATTACAATTTTTGGAGCCATTTCGTTCATCCGTTTCAAAAAGCAAAGTTGAATCAATGTCACGAAAAGTGACGTATATGCATTAATTTGGAGAGGTGATTGGCTGCGTTGGCTGGAGAGTATGCATCTACGTCATCAGTTTTCTGAGCTTTTCTCAGTATCATTCATGAGAATGTACTCTTATGATCCAGTCACTGCGCTGTATTATGCATGAGGTCGTATTACAGCAGAGAATTTAAAATGTCACGATAGAGCTTCCGCGCTGTCAGTTCACCTCTGCAAACATGACTGTAACAATACGTCTGGTCATGAACGCAATGACACGACGGATTATTGTGATACACAGCAAACAAGAGACTAGTGCTGGTACACCTGAAAATGCTATTAGAACTTTTAAATGTTCTTCTTCGTTTTTCATATAGACCAATATCTCTGCTTATATTTATTTCAAATAATAATTTATCAAAACATATTTGATTTGTTCATTATAGTTGTTAGTAGTCTCTAATGATAAGATTTCTTGAGAGTTGGTTATCATTATTATATTTTTTAAATATATCAAGGTGGCGCCTACCTCCTCTTCACTCCTACTTTTCCACAGCTTTTTACATGCCCATTTTTGGAGTCTTTTTCAAATCTAAGGTGTGAAAGACCAGTGCTAAAACAGGGTGGGGGTTCATGACACTTTAAACTATTGCAAAAATCAACTTATATAAATAAATATCAAATATAAATGAAAGATAGATAGATAGATAAATAGATGTATTGTATGTTCTTTCCTGATTGTGTGTGTTTGTGATTTAGGTCTGCAATGTGGGCCCAACAGCAACTACTCCATCTGTATGACTCCATGCCCAGCATCCTGCGCAGACCTGGCGGCTCCCTCTGAGTGTGAGCAAATACTGTGTGTGGAGGGATGTATCTGCGCCCCTGGCTTTGTCCTGAGCGACCAAGACTGTGTGCCTTACAGCGAGTGTGGATGCACTTACCTCAATCGCTACTATCTGGTGAGTCTTTTGATGCATGTAAAATACTACAGGTTAAAGGTTATGATGTCAAATACACTGCACAGGTCTTGATGATCATGTTTTTCTGCACCTTTCCACACACAGCTGAAGGAGACATTTGTGACAGAAGATTGTTCACAGAGTTGTGAATGTACTAGCACTGGTGCTGTGTGTCAAACAAAGGGCTGTGGAGACAATGAGATCTGCACCGTGTACGACACCAAACGCGACTGTTATAAATGTGAGCTATTTCACTCTTTATATTATCACAAGATGTTCTCGAAATATATTTGATAAATATATATTGCATAGCTTTTAGAGTTTTCTAGTCTAGAAACGGTACAGAATTGGATATCATGTAGTTACGTTATTATATTACTATGGAAGCCAATTTCTGCCATGCAATAAAAAATAATTGTGGATTTGTATATAATTCATTAGAATTGTGAGATCAAAACTAATAATTCAAACTTTTTTTTTCTCAGAATTATGAGTTTACCTCTCACAATTCAGTCCATGTTTTTTGTTTTTCTCACAGTTTTCATCAGAATTGTAAGATAAAAACTGAGAATTGTGAGAAAAATTTTTTTTCCAATGGCGAAAACAAGCTTTCATATGTTACAGATGCTTCAGATGAGTAATGCACTGATTTTTAACTTATTTTGCCCTCTGTCTCTCAGCGAGTCCATGTTTGAGCTCGCCCTGTGAGAATGATGGGACCTGTGTGGAAAAAGCAGATGGTTCTGGTTACACCTGCACTTGCTCTGAAGGTTTTGAGGGCACAAACTGTGAGATCTTAAAAATCCCCTCTGAGGGAGGCCTGGGTAAGTGAATGGGAACAGACTGTATTCATTCCTAATGTAAGATCCTTAATCGAACTAGTATTTGCATGCCTAAAAATTAAACCATATATGCCGGCCATGTGCAATAAAAGTTTTTTCCTGCTTGCTGTTTTATAGATCAAACAGCTATTATCTTGATTGGAGTCCTCGTGCCCCTTGGCATCATCCTCATAGTCACAGCAACTGTGTGCATTTACAAGAAGTGCAGGTAAAGCCCATTTAAAGAATAAAGGCAGATCTAAAGACACTGATCTTGCAATAAAGTCAAAACCTTTCCAAGCCAAGCCTCCACTTGAAATAAGGTGAATTATTTATAAGGTAAATTAATGATTTTTATCCCTTTTTACACAGCCGCAAAAAGATAAATTATGAATCAAGTACATTAGAGTTGAACAAAAAGGCAGGTATGTGGTAACTGATTATTATACTTTTTTCTTTCTAAAAAGAAAACAACAACTATGAAATGTGCAATGCGAGTTGTAAATTGAGCATTTCTAAATTTGTCCACAGATCAACCCTATGAAACTCTAGATGAGGGTAAGAAGCAGGAAACAGACAACAGTGTGCTGAAGGCCACAACATTCTGAAGCAAAACCTCAGTTTTTTTGACAATGATTTGCTGACAATATTTTGTTTATATTTATTCACTTTAAATATCTTTGTGAAATATGTGAACTAACAGGCAAAACCTATGTTTATATTTTACTTTTTAAAAAATTTTCAGTAACTTATTTGTAAACATCGTTGTAATTTTTGGTGTTAGCTATGTTATGATTTGGGGAATGAGTGCAATTATCAAATGTGTATGAACATCAGATTTTTCTTCTGAAAATATTTTATGTGCTTTATTTTTTATTATTTTAAATAAATTATCAAAACAATTTATGCCCTAGCTGCTTTTATTTAACTTGTTCAAGTGCAACAATCCAATAACCCACAACATTTTCAAGTGCAAAGCAGCAGTTCATAGAAGAGAAAAGTAAAAATGGTCTTGCTTGACCAGCTATCTAAATGATTGAGTTCCACAAGGACTGTACTCCAGAAGAGCTTCTTGGTGAGTCTTGGCAATTCAAAAATGTCTGAAAGTCCAAACAAACAATACAAGAGCATTGCCTCAGCTCTGATACCTTTTGTATAACTTCTAACCTCAAGCTATTTATACAGACTGGGAGTAAATCCAATGGTTAAGAGTAGCCAATTAACAATTGTTCTGTGATTTGCCTTGTCAAGAGGCTAAAAAAAAGAATCCAAATGTTTTTGAAGTTTTGAGTTTTTGATCCATGCAGTTCAGGAAAACATCAGTGCCAGTCACCAGTCCTTTGAACATTCCTTCTTTTTCCTCCAAAAAACAAGTTACAAAAAAATAAAATAAACATGATAGTCCAAATCTTTTTGTTCATAAATGATCTTATCCTGCCAAGCAACTTTTCTTCACACGTTGTCAATGTAAAATAATTATTAGATAGTCCAAAACAAGAAAAATTACAAGTGAATTTAGAATTAAAAAATTTAAATAAGTCACAGTGTTTGTATTAAAACATATTATCTACATCCACAATGCGGTTTTGGATAATTGTTACATTTCCGCAGGATAAGAAGTCTGTCTAAATATTTCAGTCCGAAAAAATTAAACATTCAATATCCTATAATCGGACACAATATAAAACCATGTGCAACATTCAACAATAAAGGAAAAGGTTCTTCAGTCCCAAGGATTAATCAGTAGTCCTCACATCTGCACAGAAATGTAAACATTGATAAAAGAAATCAATCGTAACCCCATTAAATGGCACAATGGGGTGACGCTTTAAGCCAGTTGATTATTGATTATCACTACAGCCTGAGGGGTTGTACATATCAAGCTCTCTGTTAAACTCTGATGTTCAGTGTAAATGCATAGAAATCAATACTGCTGTATGACCAGCATCTGCCCTGATGCTTACCGGGAATTTGCTCCCAGACATCTAGCGGGAGAAGAGCAAGATAATTATGGAGTAAAAGAAAAATGATCCCACATGTTTTTTGTGAACACACACTCCAGTAGGAATGTGACAGCATATTTCCAAAGCCATAAAGGGAGGAGCAGAAATAAAATGGCATCTGCCAATAACACAAGCTCCACCTTCAGGAACCAGAAGTGACTTGATTTGGTATTGAAAGGTTGTGTGTGATCACATGGGGAACCCCTTGACTGGAGTGTTGACATTAAATAACAGTGGAATCATTTGATGAATAAAATAAATACAAATTTAACAACACACATAACTATCGAGTAAAGAGTATCAGTGATATGGAGGGCGGCACTACAGTTACACTGCAGGGTATAATTAATCCCAGACCAAAAACATTCCAGTGTGCAGGACTGAAAATTAAAGAAGCCTTCTGATTGCTCACAGGCACAACATTGCAAAACATCTTTCAAGTAATTAAGGAAAACAATAAAAGCACTTTTACAAAGAGGAATTAAATATGGACAGGCAAATGTTGGCAGTACTGACAAATGAAATTTAAAGACATTCAAAAAAAAATCTATCCAATAGTAAGTAGTAAATAAAGAAAAACACAAATTTGTATGTGACATCTTTTACAATGGATATGACTAGGCCCAGACAGAATCTGCTGAAAGGGTTAGTTCACCCAAAAAGGAAAATTCTGTCATTAATTACTCACCCTCGTGTCATTTCAAACCCAAAAGACCTTCGTTCATCTTCGGAACACAAATTAAGATATTTTTGATGGAATCTGAGAGCTGTCTGACCCTGCATAGACAGCAGCGCAACTGAAATGTTCCCAAGTCCAGAAACATAGCAAGGAGATCTGTAAAATAATACATGTGACATCAGGGCTTCATCCGCAATTATACGAAGCTACGAGAATACTTTTTGTGTGCAAAAGAAAAAAAAAAGACTTTATTCAACAATTTGTCTCCTCCGCATCACCCTGTAAACAGTGTATGCTGTTCTGTGTCGGCTGCGTCACATCGATACGCTGTTTCCGTTCAGATCAAATCACAACAACGTAGAAAACAGATCTGGCGTGACACAGCTGACACAGAACAGCATACGCTGTTTACGTCCAGCAGATATTCTCCAAAATGGCGCTACAGGGTGATGCGGAGGAGACAAATTGTTGAATAAAGTGGGTTTTTTTCTTTTGTGCACAAAAAGTATTCTCGTAGCGTTGTATAATTGCGGATGAACCACTGATGTCAGATGGATTATCAAAAATATCTTAATTTGTGTTCTGAAGATGAACGAAGGTCTTACGGGTTTGAAACGACACGAGGGTGAGTAATTAATGACATAATTTTCCTTTTTGGGTGAACTAACCCTTGCATTCTTTGCCCTGATTTTTGGAGACAAATTTACAGAATAGATTTAAGCAAACACAATGTGTTTAATAGAGTGCTAGACTCATTTGTGGCTGAAACCATAGCCAAACTATTAAAAAAACAAGCGTGTATGGGGCCAGTCGTAAGGAGAATCAGTTTCTTCAGAAAGATTTCTGAGCACACAGATTCCATGTGGGTCTGGGTATGACTAACCATAACCATCCATTCTCCCTTTAAACAGCCATTAATACAATATTTTAACTTGTATGTAACACAAGTTTCAGAACTTCATGACTCCAGTGAAATGTCCTATGGATAAACAATAAAAACCCTGTGTGTTTATGCTTTCTTTTCATTCCTTCTGTCGAAATGGTCAAAAAACAGTTGCTGCATGTAAATTGCATTGAAATAATTTTCAAATAATCATAACTGTACAGCATGTAAACAATGAATGCTGGTAAAACGAAAACAAAAATACATATTGAACTCAAACTGACAGACATTAAACCACTTTTTCGATTTACATCACTTCAATGACACGTGACTCTTTCCCAAAGTTCAAAAATATCCCTACTTCCTCTCCTCTGTGTGTGTGTGTGCATTTAGGTGTGTGAATCCAGTACCAGCACCTTGCACTCACGCTTGGCAATTTTGTCAAGTGACAAGATGTTCCTGTCAGGAGGGAGGTACAGCGGCCGTCCAACAGGAGAGCCCACAGGAGGGGTGATGGCCCTGCGCTCCATAACACTGCCTGTCCTGTAAGACATGAACATAGACATTGATCTCTGCTGCATAAATGAGACAATCATAATTTGACAAAGAAAACATTGTGAAGTGAGGCAGTTGTAAGAGGATGTACCAGTTTACCATAGGCTATATCAGAGTTCATGCCTATGTAGACAGTTCTAAATCAGTCAACTAAGATCTTCCATTTCAGTTAGAATAATGATGTAGAACAGGTGTTTTTCGCAAATATTACTAACTTGTAAAGACCGCTAAATACATTCATGTATAGACCCATTAATACCGTGTGTGATCAAAAGTTTGGGGTCACTAAGATTTACCAAGCTGCATTTAATTGATTAGTAATATTGTGAAATATTATTGCTATTTAAAACAAGTGTTCTATTTAATTATTGTTTAAAATGTAATTTATTCCTGTGATGGCAAAGCTGAATTTTCAGAAGCCATTACTCCAGTCTTTGGTGTCACATGATCATTCAGAAATTATTGTAATATTTGGTGCTGCAGAAATGTTTCTTATTATTATCAATGTTGAAAACAGTCATACTGCTTAATATTTACTTTAAAAAAATCTAATTGGCCACAACCTTTTGAACAGTAGTGTATATCGTCACTGCACAAAAAAAATAAATAAATTAAACGCATTAAATCGTAAAAAAAATTTGTTGATTGGTAGTGCATCTTTGTTCACCCACTGTGTAAGTAAAATCAAACCTTTAAAATTAATTCAAATACAAATTTTTTAATTACTATTAAAAATGCTGTCAACAGAAAAAAACAAGTAATCCAAACAAAAAATAAAAATAAAAAAACACACAAAAAAGGAAATTTGTTATATTATATTATTGTTAAACATATTTAATTAATATATAGTGTGTACAGTGTACGTGAGAGAGACAACCTGTAAGATTGAACTGTATTTACATCAAGTGAAATAGATGAAGATCATCTGTTTGTGTGTGTGTGTGCACGTTCAACGCTATACCTTGTGAGGTGAAACTTGGATGGCTGCTGGTGAGAAAAGGACTGAGAGCGGCCCAGACTTAGACTGGCCTGATGTCGGTCCAGAATATCTCTAACCGCTGGACTGGACGGACTGTTCTTGCGGGACAACGGACGGGCATCAGGGGGAGGGTTGGACACGGACGCTGTGAACTGTAGCTTCAGTTTCATGTGCTGACTCAACTAAAGACAGAGAAGACAGAATAGCGGATATTGAGGTGTGTAGATCCAGTAATCCAACTCATTGGTTTTGTTGAAGGAAGTGAAATTGCTCACGTCACACACATATTACTCTTTACCTCAAAAAGACCTGCTCGGAGTATCTGGAAAGCCACACTGACGGAAAGGGTACTGCCTTTTCGACAGTAACCCAGGTTACTGAGAGGAGAATGACACACCACTGCATTCACTGCAGGATCCTCTTTCTGTCCACGACCTGAGAAGAAGAGAGAATCAAAAAACATCTGGACATACTGTAGGATATCAGACAATTTAAGATTTGGTCAAAACATGGTTGAAACATTAGGAGCACAAAAATTCCACAAGAGGCCCAAGACAACAGGATGTCATAAATCAGACCCTAGCCAGTCTGAAGCAAGCCTAACCAACTTTTTCACAGAACAGCTTTCAACATTAAAACAAAAGAACACTTATTGACAATTCCAAGGAGATTGTCAATTTTGGGGACAAGTTATCAAGAATAATG